ATATGCATGCATACAAGTCCTTTGGTTGATCAGTGTGTTTAACATTTTAAGGAGCTGCCAAATAGTTTCACAAAGTGACTGCACCATTTTACATTGCTAGCACCAGCATATGAGAGTTCCAATTTCTCCGCATCCTCACCAACACCTGTTGTTTTCTGTAAGAAAGTCTTTTTCTAGAACAGTTCAGTGAATCTAAGTGAACATTTTAAAGGTAGGGACTGATTCCCAGTTTCTATCTCTGCTTCCTGGCTTCTGCCCTTGGAAGGAATTATTTTCCCCTTAAAAGGGCGTGTTGTGAGAAGCCACTTGTTTTCTCCCATCTTGATCCACTTGTGACCAGTGGCTCACGCTTAGGAAGGAGCTCGTTCGAGTGAGAAGAGCCATCTGAAGCCTTGGCTTCATAGTCTCCTCTTTGTGAAGGATCTTGCAAGAGTAGAACCTGCCCCACTGACTCGAGCACAGAACTCAAAATCAGAGGCTGTCACACATGTGAAGTCATTGCTCCTAACTCGTGTGATGTCAGTTATTGAGCAGGAAGAGTGTGTGCCTCTTACAGCCTCTCTTGCTTTTAGATGGATGACGATGATGATGACGATGATGTAGGCGACCACGATGAAGACCACCCTGGGATGGAGGTGGTGCTGCATGAAGACAAGAAGTACTACCCCACCGCTGAAGAGGTGTACGGTCCTGAGGTGGAGACCATCGTTCAGGAGGAAGACACCCAGCCCCTCACAGGTACGCCAGGAGGCTCTGAGTTGTGAGAGCAACAGTGAAACTAGAACACTTCATTTCAGAGCCATCAGCAAACTTGAGAATTCAGTAAATGAACTGATTAATTTTTCTTTACCACCATCAGGTACCATTTCTGGATTGAGAGTCACTTAACCCTGGTTTTTTGTTTATTTGTTTTAATCCTCACCCGGGGATATTTTTCCATTGATTTTTAAAGAGAGTGGAAGGGAGGGGGAGAGACAGAGAGAGAGAGAAACATCTATGTGAGAGAGACACATCAATTGGTTACCTCCCACACGAACCCCAACCAGGGCCAGAGATCTAGCCTGCAACCGAGGTACATGCCCTTGACTGGTATAAAACCTGGGACCCTTAGGTCCGTGGGCCAACACTCTATCCACTGAGCCAAACTGGCTAGGGCAATCCTGTTTTAATATTCAATAAAACTCATAGCTTTTTTTCTATGGAAATAAGAGTTATTTCTTCATTTATCTAATATCTATTTAGGTGCTTGAAGACTGTATTTAAGTTCTCCCACCAAATAATCCCAACTCCTTGAGCCAGTCCTCGTGGTGCTTATTTTCTAAGGAGTTGCGTTCTGTAAGTGCAAGTAGAGGTTTTGAACTGACATTGACCTCAGCCTATATCCAGTCCCCCTCCCTGTGTCCCACAAAATGAAGTTGAAACTCGGTCCACAATTCTCCTTTACTGTCTTGTGCAAAACAGCATTCCCAGAACTTCCTCAACATCTGAGTGATCCTTGAAAATAACAAATTGATATCACATATCATGCATTCCGAAAGCTAGGCCTAATGGAATAGAGCTCTGTATTTTTATGTTTTCTGCCTACCTGCACATCATTACTTTTTTTCCCCCCTAGAACCTATTATTAAGCCAGTGAAAACCAAGAAATTCACTCTGATGGAGCAGACGTTACCTGTCACGGTGTATGAAATGGAGTAAGTTATAAAGTCTCTCAGCCTCTCTTCATGAGTAGTGTAGGTTCATTATTTCATGGGGGTATAGGAAGTGGTTTGGGTTGAAGTAGCCAGTGAATTTCAAAAGCAAAATCTCTCTCTACAATTTTCTAAGATTTCCTTTCAGTTTATATGGTTTCTGGGATATTTAGTTTCATTCTTAACTTTTCTCTTGGCTCTCATCCATATCTCAGCTGTTTTCTCTTCTTCCAAATCTCTAGTTTGGTATTAAAAGCCAGCCGTAGTACTCAGAGAGTACTAAGTATTATAATTGTCAGTGTTGGGCCACCAGAGCCTATTTTGACTCGGCAAAATTGCTAAGTGTTTTGGAAGCATAATGATTCCATTTTGAAAATGAGGGCAAAAGTAGGTAGGTGTACAGGGTGGGCAAAAGTAGGTTTACAGTTGTGTGTATGTGAAACAGTTTAGTCCCTCTTTTTTTATATATATATAATTCTTTATTATTGAAAGTATTACATATATCCCCCTTTTTCCTCCATTAACCCCCTCCAGCCCATCCCCCCATCCTTGCCCCAGGCCTTCAGCACCCTATTGTCTGTGTCCGTGGGTTATGCATGTATGCATACAAGATCTTTGGTTCATTACCTACCACTCACCCAGAAACAGTTTATTCTTGAATTATTATTTATTGATTATTATATTATTTTCCATACAAATACTGTAAACCTACTTTGCCTAACCTTGTATGTATGGAATAATTTAGACTCTTCAAACTGTTTTTGCAAATATTTAAACTGATTAATTCACCTGCATAGCCCTCGTATATTGAAGTGTTTGTGGCTCACTATTAGATAATGAAGCTTTTTTTAGCCACATTGTCATCTCGTATGTTCAAAAGAGTGGAGTCCCTCATCAAATGTTCAGCTCACCTGCCATCATTTAGACATTTTTGAAGCAACTTTTCAGTTATCTTCAGAACTTGCTTCATATTCCTTTCTATTCTCAATGGTGATTATTTTAAATCTCCAATCTTTGAAAGTAGACTTGATCTTTTTAAAGAGCCAAAGTCATCTGAAGGCTCCTTGCCATAAATAATGTGGGTGATAAGCAAGAAAGACAATGCAGGTTTTGGTAAAGATGGAAGTTCTCTGCTCAGCATTGTTAGATGCCATGTGTTTTGTTAACTAGCTCTGATGACAGTTTTAAAAGAGAAACTCCCAAAGTTATTTTAAGTCCCTTTAGCATCAGTGGAATAAATGGATAGCATTCAGTCTGAAGATTTTGAAAGGGATAGTACTTGTGTATGTGTGTTAGTTCTGGTATTGGTTTTGTTTCTTTTTTCCCTTGCTTTCTAACTCTTATTATTTTGCTGTTGAAATCCTCACGAGACTTTGCAGATTGTGTCACTTTCATGGATAAGTCTATTCCGTCCCCAAGCCAGAACTATATAGGTGTAGAAATTCGCACCTGCCTCCGAGCACTGTTGGTCTGAAAGTTGTTCCTGAACAACTAAAAATTCCTAAAACACTTTTGCACCCCTCCCCACTTAAAAACTTTTCAAATTTCCTTCCGCTTTCAGTTTCTTGGCAGATCTGATGGATAACTCAGAACTCATCAGAAATGTGACCCTTTGTGGCCATCTCCATCATGGCAAGGTGAGAGAACTTAGCTACCTGGGACAGGATTTCTCTTCGTTCCTGCTCATTTCTTCAGCCCTCAGCGTCATAGGTTGGGGTTTGAGCCCATAAGGTGGGACCTCCTGACTCTGGGGCCTCTGCTTATTGTGAAACCTCGATGTGAAATTCTAGCTTTCCCTAATCAGCATGCGGAGCCTGTTAGTAAACCCTTGCATGCCCAAGCCTTGTGTCCACAGCTGGACAGAAAAGGGGAAAATGAGCCTTACTCTGATTTCATATGACTTTATTTCCCTGGGGATGCTTGTCCAAGGAAGATTGCATCTTTCATTTGAAAATAATCCTGTGGTTTCAGTGTTGATCCTTTGCTGTCCCATAATCCTCCTTGTTCTCTTCCTTCTCTCCTTATCCCTAAATGATGTGTTGTACTGGGAGCCGGGGGACGAGTAGAATAGATTTTCCGCTGTGGTTGGCAGGTTTTAACCTTCTCTTTCCTTTCAGACGTGTTTTGTAGATTGTTTAATAGAGCAGACTCACCCGGAAATCAGAAAGCGCTATGACCAAGATGTAAGTAGAAATGCTGTTGACGGTTTAGGATAAGCCATTCAGAATATACAGGGGGGCTGGTCCGAGTGCAGTGGCGCCTACAATTAATTGATCACAGAATATACAGGGGGTCTCTCTCCCCCTCCCCTTAGCGTTCTCACTCACTATAAATAATGACGCCTTCAAAGTGCTGCTTCATGATTGTAATCTCTATTAATTGCCTTTAAGAAAATAATTACAATTTTATCAGGAGCATAAAGAATATTAATCTGCAATATTTTGAGATGATCTGTTCTGCACTTGGGATCCCTCTTCTCTTCTGATATATTCTGACTTTTTTTTATTGTTGTTAATCCTTACTCGATATTTTTCCATTGATTTTTTAAAGAGTAGAAGGGAGAGACAGAGAGAGGGAAACATTGATGCGAGAGAGATACATCGATTGGTTGCCTCCTACTCGCACCCTGACCAGGGCTGGGGATCGATCCTGTAACCGAGGTACATGCACGTGGCCAGGACCTTTCAGTCCACAGGCCGACGCTCTATCCACTGAGCGAAACCAACTAGGGCTTTTATAGCCAATTCTTTTTCTTTCTTTTGTTTTTTTTTTTTATTGATTTTTAGAGAGAGGGGAAGGCAGAGGGCTAAATAGAAACATCAATAAGAGAAAAACATCATCAATTGACTGCCTCCTGGGCATATGCCCTGATGGCGAATTGAACCAGCAACCTTTGGGTTCATGGGTCAGTGCTCAAACACTGAGCTATACTGGCCGGCTATAGCCTATTTTTTCCTGTCATAATATTAAAAGCTTTCTCTATAAATATAATACAATTGGACTGTGTTGTTTTCATGATAAATTTACATGCCTATGAGTGAGGCCAAGTGTGGCTGCAAGTCTCAGTGTAATAATTGTTCCATTTCTGCCAGATTGACTGTTTTGACATGGGCGGGTTCCATGAAGGCTGGATGTGTCTCCCTTCACCACGCTAAGAATTGGGTGCATTTGGTATAATTTAGTTTCCCAGCTATACCTGGTCTTCAAACACACATCCCAGAAACACACATGCAGGGGCATTTTCCATCTGTGAAGGCACTGGTCTCATTGTCCGGAGTTTCTGTAGGGAATCCCTGCTCTTTCCATGTATTTTCTTCCTGAGGCAGAAACCTTGAGTTGGGAGGTGGTGGGGAAAGTTTGATCATTTGTGTGGGAGAGGAGTCTGAATTCAGTTGGTAACAACAGTTTATTTTTTTCAGCTATGCTACACTGACATCCTCTTCACAGAGCAAGAGGTAAGCTTGCTTTGGGAACTCCGACTGTTGCCCACACCAGACCCAGCAATAGTTTTGTAGGGAGAATAGGGAGTCTTTATGGTAACACTTCGGTCCATACCACAAACCCCTCTCACTCCTGGCTCTTTATCTCCTAGCTTCTACCTTCCAGTCATCCCAGGATTTCTAACTTGAAAGAGAGCTGGCTAGGCAAGCTGTAGGATAAAAGGGAGGAACCCTCCTGCCCTTGATTGGATTTAATGTGTCTAATAGGGCAAATACTAAGAGACGATGTGTACGTTTGTAAGTTATGCAGAAGCCAACGTGATTTTTTAAATTATGCTTAAAATCTGTAAGATGACTTCATCCATATGACAATGCCTTTCTAGGAGTAGCTTCTCTCTCTTTTTTTAAAACCTTACCAGGGATCAAGCCGGAAACCCAGGCATGTTCCCTAACCAGGAATCAAACCAGCAATCTTTTGGTCCATGGGTCGATGCTGAACCACTAAGCCACACTGGCCGGATGCTACTGTTGTTTCTTAATATATTTATTTGACTAGAGTTTAATAATTATTCCGTATCTCTCTCTCTCTCTCTCTCTCTCTCTCTCTCTCTCTCTCTCTCTCTCACACACACACACACACACACACACACACACCCCCCCCCCCCCCCGCCCACTGGGTATCAAGCCCACAACCTGAGCATGTGCCCTTGCCTGGAATTGAACCTGGGACTCTTCAGTCTGCAGGGTAATGCTCTATCCACTAACCGAAACCAGCTAGGGCCCCGTTATAGTTTTTTTTAACTGTTTTTAACCTAAAATGCCCCCAGGTGTTTTTTTTTTTTTTTACTTACCTAATGCTTGGTTATTATTTTTGTTTCCAGTGTATGAGGAGGATAAAACTTGTCTTACTTTTTTGGTATTTGAACCAACCTCCCTCCCCAAATGCTGTTTAACATTAAGATATTTCATCTTCAAGGTCATTCTGGTTGGATGGCTAGACACAAATCATACCTACCACAAAGAGATAAATCCGTGTAATTTACTAGCAACTGGCAAACCCCAGGAGCAGAGTGAACCCCTCTTGTATAGGAAGAAGACTTAAACACTCTCTTTTTGTGGCTTTCAGAGAGGTGTTGGCATCAAAAGCACTCCTGTGACAGTGGTTTTGCCAGATACTAAAGGGAAATCTTACCTCTTCAATATCATGGACACTCCAGGTAGGACATTCCTTGACCCCTCTTTGCTTCTGACTAGTTAATTAGCAAGTGCTGTGCTCCAGGCTTTCCATTTGCTCCTCTCTTTACTCTTCTCTAGAATATTTGAATTTTAGGAAATTTTATTCATTTATTCACTGGAGCCTGTTCAGGCCCCATGCTAGACGCTATGGTAACAAAGGCGAGTCAGACATGGTTCCCCCCTCAGGCAGGCTCAGTCTTTTGAAGGAGATCATGGCAGCAGCACACCACCTGCTTGCTGGTGGGCACGCAGGTTACCGTGGAGCAGGGTGCCTTGCTCCGTGTTTGGTTCTTTCTCTTTTGGAGAAGACCAAGTGGGGCAGAGTTTTGAACAGGAAAATTTGAATTTTAACAGGTTGGTCTTCCTTGCCCAATGCCCTCATACCTGGCAGCCCTGCCCCCCACCAGCATCTGGCCAGGTGCTCTCTCCCTTGCTCCTGGCCCTCCTCTGCCTTTCTCCTGCCGCCAAATTGTCTTCTGTTCCACAGAACTCTGCTTACTGCTGAGTAGACTAATGTGAATGTTACTATGTTATGCCCTCCTAGCTAAAACACTTTCTTCTTTTTGTGGGACCTCTGTATAGAAGTTTAATCCAAGGATGTGACTCTACTGGTGGAATTTTATTCACCACAGATTGCTGTGGGGAGAGGGAAAGGGGAACTGGGAGCTTGCAGTACCCCTCAGACCACCTACCAGTTATTGTGCTCATCCTGCCACCACACAAGTGGCAACTTAGTGACTTGGATGGTATTTGCTTTACAGGGCATGTGAATTTTTCTGATGAGGTCACGGCTGGCCTGCGCATCTCAGATGGAGTGGTGCTTTTCATCGATGCTGCCGAGGGCGTGAGTCTGGACCCCTGCTCCCTCTTCGGTTTGCCCCACCCACAATGCCCAGAGCACTGAGCAAGCTGGGAACCAGAGATCATGAGAGTCTGTGGGATTAAGGCTCATATTTGCTCTAAAATTAAGGAAATGAATGAAGTTCAAAATTAGTTCTCAGTTCAGGGAAGTTTAAAATGAATGATAAGGACCCATTGCTATTCAGAAAAAGATAAAATGACAAATGTAAATAAAAGGAAGGGAGGTGAGTATATTCATATAAATGGATTTTAAATATTAATGAATGGTTTTAATCATAAGAGAAATTGGAATTAAAGGACCCAGGGTGTCTTTTATATTTCTAAATTGAAAGATTAGGTAAATTGGCTAACCTCATTCATGTTGTCATTAGTGAGATAACCAGCAGAGGGAGCCAGAATTGCTTTTATTAAATTGATTTTGTTTTGGAAAATTTTCAGATTTATTGAAAAGTTGCAAGTACAAAGAACTCACCTTCATTTGCTTTGTAATTCTTTCTGTACATGTATACACATACTCACACGTGTATGTATTCTTCCCTTGAACCATTTGAAAGTAAAATATTTCAGAATGTATTTCCTAAGAACAAAGACATTCATTTACATAACCATAGTACAGCTACCAAAATCAGGGACTTTAACCTTCATACATTTTGTTGTACAGATCTTTTTGTACAAAACTTAGTCTTACTAATTGTCTCATAATGTCTTTTATAGAATTTTTTTCCTATCATGCTGCATAGCATTTAGTCTTCATGTCTCTTTAGTTTCTTTTAATTGGTTAGAACTATTCCGTTACCTTCTTGGTCTTTTATGAATTGACATGAAGAGCACACACCATTTATTTTGGAGGATGTCTGTTTGGGTGTGTCTCATGTTTCCTCGTGATGATGTTCAGGTGACTTTTGGTAGGAATGCTACCCAAGTATATTGTGTTCTTATTAGTCCATCCCAGCAGGAGGCCTATGATGCCACCTTATCGCATTGGCGATGTTAACTTTGATCACTTGATTAAGGCAGATCTATCAGCTTTTTTTCAGTGTAAAATTAGAATTTTCCCCTTTGTAATACATAATTTGTGGAGGGATACCCTGAGTCTGGTATACATTCTATTCCTACAGTTGTTATCATTTATTCATCATTCCTAGCTTGTTTTTATAATAGTTACAGGTGGTGATTGTCTGACTTGTATTATTCCTTCTGTATTTATTGGTTGGAATTCTGCTGAAGGAAGAGCTTTCTCTTCTCTCCGATTTGCTCATTTATTGTCAGTGTGGATACAAGGATTTTTATTTTACTCTGTGGGTTATAATCCATTGCTGTCCTTATATGTTTTGATACTCTAGTTATCCCAGGTTTGGCTAGTGAGAGTCCTTCAGGCAGACTTCTTTATCCTTTGGACCTGTCCCATCCTTTTTTTTAAAAAGTACTTCCTTACTTTTAGGCACAAAAAGATGTTCTAGAATCATCTTGTACTTTCCCTGCCCCAGTCCTTGAATCAGCCATTTCTCTAAGGAACTCTGACTCTTTAGAGTGGGGATTGGTATTTAGAAACATCAGGACATGTTCCTCGCTACTGGGGTACATTGCTTCTTGGTCCTTTCACTGAACACAAATGATATACATCATACATATCTGTAACTATTTTTACTCATATATTAGAAAATCATTGACACAGCAAAAATGAAAGAAAGCATTCGTTTTATCCTAATGGCTGCACTTCCATATTAGCACCACAGTTCTTTCTAATTCTCCTGTCCCTTCTCCAGCACTGAGAAACCTGGCTCCCAACGTCATCAGTGTATTTATTCGTGAATCTGCCTTCGGGCAAGATGCCATCTGATTGCACCCAGTGGTCTAGGTCCCCTCTTTTCCTCGTGCTTCCTGTTGTACAGCAGCGCCCTCTTTGACGTTGCTCTGGACTTGCCTGCCCTCTTGGCTCTGACCGCCTGTGTCTCCCAGGTGATGCTGAACACGGAGCGGCTGATCAAGCACGCGGTGCAGGAGCGGCTGGCGGTCACCGTGTGCATCAACAAGATCGACCGGCTCATCCTGGAGCTGAAGCTGCCGCCCACGGACGCGTACTACAAGCTGCGCCACATTGTGGATGAGGTCAATGGGTTGATAAGGTAGAGGGCCCTTGGCAGTGTCCTCAGGGACTCTGGTTTTTATAAATTTTAACCTTGAACTCTGGAGGCAACTTGGATTTCTTGGTGTGTGTTGATGAGCTTATTGGATGGGGCTAGAGAAGCTCATTGCATGGCCCTACAGCAGTGGTTCTCAACCTTCCTAATGCCGCAACCCTTTAATACAGTTCCCCATGTTGTGCTGACCTCCAATTTCATTGTTACAAATTGAACATAATTAAAGCATAGTGATTAATCACAAAAACAATATGTAATTATATATGTGTTTTCCGATGGTCTTAGGCGACCCCTGTGAAAGGGTCGTTCGACCCCCCAAAGGGGTTGTGACCCACAGGTTGAGAACCGCTGTTCTACAGGCACTGACTCCACAGCCTGGCTTCCTTCACTTTCTGCCTTAACCACTTGTGCACGCATCTTCACACATCTTCAGTTTTGTATTGTGGTCAGTTCCTTGAGCTCTAGAAACAATCTCATCTTCACCTCATACCAGGCATGTAAAGTTGGGCAAATTACTTAAGCTTTTGAGCCTCAGTTTCTGCTTCTGTAAAAGGGGATAATAATAATATTTGCCTTATGATATGTTATAAGAAATTAAGTTGATATCTGATGTAACACGCTGGGCACAGTGCTTAGCAGTAACTGATCAGTGAATAATATTAGCTAGCTGCTCTTACCTTATTAGCACTCAGTAAATGAGGGGGCTGTTGGGTGTTGTTTCTGGATATAGCTGCTTTATGAGATAGGTTTACAAGGGCTTACATTAATAAGTATGACTGATGGTTGGAAGACTTAGAATACAGTATCAAGGTGGCTTTGAAGAATAGGTTAAAGGTGAATTAAAGACAGTTATCTGTAGCCTGAAGAATGTACTGAATGACTTCTTGAGGCCCCTCAAAGGGCCCAGAAAGAGACCGTCCTACAGAGAGGACACCTCTCCAGCTGAGGATTGCGGGCACTACCTACATGGCCAGAGACTGATTGACGTGCAGGAGCTTCTCTGGTTGCAGCACTGATTACTACCAGGGATACCTCCTCCCTGTCTCTGGAACAGCTGAGAATGACTAGAGCCTAAAATAATACCAGGAATCCCAAATACGAAATGATAAACCTCTTCAGAAAGGGAGATGGGGTGGGATAGGACTAAATCCCGATCAGCCAAAATAGGAAGTCACGAAGTCATGTTTCAGCCTCTAAACAAGAAATAGCCATGTTAAACATATTATTTAGGAATATGGGAGTAAATGTTCTAAAAGCAGCTTTGAAAGAATTGAAACCAGTTGCCTCTGGGGAGCATAACTTGGGAGTGAAGTAGGGGACTGCTCTTTATAATCCAATACTTTTATTTCTAAATTAAGAAACTCCATAAAACATTCTGTAGGGCTAGGGTTGTGGATTTGATCCCTGTACAACTAATTTTGTTATAAATATTAGTGGACTTGTGATGCTATTGCTTCTGCATGACTTTTAAGACACAGTTTTTTTAAAATAATTTATTGTTGAAATTATTACATATGTTCCCTTTTTTCCCCCATTGACTCCCGTTTGCCCCCCACCCCCACCCCAGGACTTAAGCACTCTATTGTTTGTGTCAATGGGTTATGCATATAAGACACAAAGTTTTAACACAATTTTTAAAACAAGCCCTAGCCGGTTTGGCTCAGTAGATAGAGCATCAGCCTGCAGACTGAAGGGTCCTGGGTTCAATTCCGTCAAGGGTACATGCCCGGTTTGTGGGCTTGGTCTCCAGAAAGGAGTGTGTAGGAGGCAGCCAATCAATGATTCTCATCATTGATGTTTTTCTCTCTCCCTCTCCTTTCCTCTCTGAAATCAATAAAAATATATTTTAAAAAAATAAATGAAAATAAAGCAAGCCAAACAAAACAGAAGAAAGATCTTTAGGGTGGTGGGAATGGGGAGCAGAGTTACTTTTCTTTTACTTGTGCATTCATTCATTTATACTGGTGTATGTCTATTTGTGTTTGTAAGATAGGGATTTCTCCAGAATGCACTTCTCTCCAGTCGCATTAGACTCATTTCCTGTGTTCTAAGACCTTTGTCTCTATCCTCCAAGTTTTCCCTGTCTGTCCGGTGCAGTTAACTTCTCCAAGATCATGCAGAGTGTTCCCAGCTCTGGGAAGTCCGCTTGTTACTGTGAGTTAGCGGACAGCTTCATCATGTCACTTTCTTGGACCCGGCTGTTGGCAAAGCTGACTGTATTATGTAAGCCCAGTGGAGGGCAAGGGCTGGAGAGGCTGATACTGAGTCTGCCCTCTGCCCTCGGTGTGAGTCAGCCTGGCTGTGCACTCATGCCCGTCTCTGTTTCAGCATGTATTCCACCGATGAGAACCTGATCCTGTCCCCACTCCTGGGCAACGTCTGCTTCTCCAGCTCCCAGTACAGCATCTGTTTCACGCTGGGCTCCTTTGCCAAGATCTATGCTGACACGTTCGGTAAGTCTGGCTGGCAGTCTGTCTCGCCTGTTTCCCCAGAGTCCCGTGTGTCTTTCGTGCTGAATGGTTTAGAAATTGGCTTCCATCAACTGTTATTCTCACATTTCGGGCTCTTTTTGGCCCCTAGACCCTTTCTTTAGGCTCAGTGGTTTCCAAACACTAGAACAAGAAAGGTAACTAGGAAGAATGAAGAAAGAGCTCCTTTAGGAATAAGACTCTCTCTAGAGGAATTATCTGCGCTCACAAAGCCCCTTCAGATCTCTTCCTCAGAGATGGAGCCTCCCTCATTAGTGGTGTTCTAGCTGGCTTTCCAGCCATGTCTAGGCAGGTAGAAAGTTTGTAGACCCACTTAAGAACTCATGATATGCAGTCAGTGCAGGTGATTCTCTGCTGCGATGCCCAGTTGAATGATTTTATAGGTTCGTGGAGCCTCGACCAGCTTCCCATCTCAAGAGGCTCCTGCACTCCTCTGTACCTCTGTGCCTCCTTCAGATTCCAATAGGCACCATGTCTTGTGTCGTGTGCCAAATTCTGTGCTTCATTAGAAGGGTCATATCACCCTGTTTTTATTTTATTTTTAATCCTCACCTAAGAATATGTATCCATTGATTTTTTTAGAGAGAGAGGAAAGTAGAGAAACATCGATGTGAGAGAGAAACATCAATTGGTTGCCTCCCATACGCGCCCCAACTGTGGGTGGAACCTACCACCTAGGTATGTACCTTGACTGGCAATCAAACCCGCCATCTTCCGGTGCATGGGACGACACTCCAACCAACTGAGCCACACGGCCAGGCGGTCATCCTGTTTTCAGAGCTGAGGAGACAGGCTCCGTTAGAGGTCTCACAGCTGGCAGGCGCTGGAGCACCAGGGTTTCTGTTCCCGCCCTCAGCTGTCCTGCCTCACACTCGGTGTGCATACGCTTGCTCTTGTGAAAAAAATGAGTAAATAAAACTTGGTCTTTCTTTCTTTTGAATATATGCATACATATTTACCACATTTTCATTGCAGAAAAGTGGAAAATACAGTAAAATCTAGTCAAGAAAGGAAAATTCGCCGAAACTGGTTTGGCTCAGTGGATAGTAAACAGGCCTGCGGACTGAGGGGTCCCGGGTTCGATTCCA